ATTATATATTTACAGCGAAAAATTCAGCTTTATCAGCAGATGTTCAATATAAGAAATTGATTGATTTAGAGGGCTGAATAGATCTTACTCTTATTTTCAACACTATTACACATCCGCCAGACAAACTGATTAAATTTTGTTATTTATTTAATATTTGCCTATTTATCAGGGGTTTAAGTGGTAGCCGTTCGAGGAAAAATATTTATTACGTGCATCCAAGAATGGCCGTCTGTACGCAAAACTGTCATATACACGCAGCCGGAAATGATGATTCCTGTGGTCTATAGCGGCCCAATATGCTGGTGTGAACCATGGAGGTTTTACCGTTCGTCTATTTTGAAGGAATAAAAGTATCTATGCCGTTTTAACTCTAAAGAAACCCCAATATATAACTTTTCAATAGGAAGGTTCACATATCAATCCAAAATTTTGTTTTTTTTTTATCTTTTTTGTGGGGTATATATATATATATATATATATACTTTCAATAAAAAAAAAAAAAAATTAATTATTTTAAAAAGAAAGATTATTATTTTAAAACCAGTTATTTGTTTGTTTTTGGAAACAAAAGATACCTTATTTGGTTTAAACCACAAATTAACAAAACCGTCAAAACAAACATAGGAAAGACGTTCCTAAACGTAATAGAAAAGCAACTGAAACAAACCGATTAGCAAAAATATTTAATAAAAATAACGTTAAAATCAGTTACAGCTGCACAAAAAAATAAGACAAATAATAAAAAAAAACAACAAAAAATAACAATATAATAAAATAATGCAACTAAGGAACCTCAATGCAAATGCAGAAATAAAACAAGATGTCCCTCCAAGGAAATAGCAAAGAAACTAATATAATATATAAAGCCACGGTAAGTTAAAACAACAGCGCAATGTACTATCTCGGTGACACTGAGGGAACATTCAAGAAAAGAAAAACAACCGACCTTTCATTCATTAACAGAAAATATTCAAACAGCAACATACATATAGCATCTAAAAACAAAAAATATTAGGCCAAAAATAAACTGGAAAATATTAAAAAACGCACCTACCTACAACGACATTACAAAGAAATGCCTATTATAAGAAAAGGTAGCAATAATTTCTCACACCCAACAAAACAAATTACTAAACATAAGATCAGAAATACTTTCTAAATGCAGACATGAAAACAAATAACTATTCTCACAATTTATTTAACGAAACAGATAAAAAAATACCCACCAACATTGCTACATAAACCACCATTGACCCTATGAACACGAAAAAGAAACCACTGAAACCATAACACCAACAATTATTTTCTAATTCAAATTACCATCATAATAATTATTGTTATTGCTATTCTACCACCATTACTACAATCACATCTACCATTTTACCATAACTATTTGCTGCTACAGTTGTTATTATCATCAATCGCCCCCCACCATTACTACCGCATAACAATTACCATTGACGCATTAGTCCACAATCACTACCGCGCCACAACTACCATTACCGCATTATTCACAATTATACTTACTTCCCCAACCACAGCAAAATTAATACCACCGTATAAAGACCAATATGTATTATAAATTGGAGTTTGTACCATTTACATAAGCGCAATCGCCAAAAACAAGCAAATAACCGGCTTTAAAATAATAACAAAACAGTATTAAAAAAAAAAATAATAATAACAATTTTACTTACTATATTCTTACACAGACCCCATCGTAAGATAAAAGAAAAACAAACGGGTAGAAGGTGTGTGAATGCGCGTGTATATATGTGTGTGCGAGAAAACATTATTCTGTGGAGAAAATAGACGAACGGTCTGTGCGTTGAAAATATTTATTTAACACAAGCAAATTTTTGTTTGGGATATATACATATCTATATCTCCCAGCTTAGTTTTGTTTCCGAAACATAAAAAGATTCTTAATGGATGTTTTACGCCGACATTATATATTATTATAAACGTTATTTAGTGGGTACACGTATTTGAATTGTCATTTTTATTGTGTTTTCCGGAAAGTTAATGTCGATTTTTTGAAGTGAAATGAAAACACAAAACCAAATTATATCATTAAATATTTATTCAACTAAATACAAACCATTTTGTTGCACAAACGTTCTCCATTTTTCCTTCAACTTAAAGATTCCATCTTCCCAGAATTTCGGCGGCTTCTCGACAAAGAACTCATTAAGGTGTTTTTTTATGTTATCCAAAGAATTAAAATTTTTACCATTGAGATTATTTTGCAAGGACCTGAATCAATGAAAATCAGAAGGAGCAGTATCTTTTGAATATGGCGGGTGGGATAACACATCCCAGCCAAGCTGCAGTAATTGTTTTCAGGTCGTCTAAGAATCGCGAGGTCTTTCATTATTCTGATGAAAAACATCTTTCCTGTTCACCAATTTAATTCGCCTAGTTCCGGGCATTATTTTTTTCAGAATCAATTGACTAATTACTTGGCAGATGCTTATATTACAGGATACCATTCCAAACCCAGCAGATGCACAACATGGCTAACTTAGGATGATGAGCCGCGTTTGAGGTCATTGAAGTTGGCTCATGTCGCTTGCCCCAGGATATTTTTCGCTGAACATTGTTGTAAACGATCCATTTCTCATCACCCATCACAATTTTCTTCATAAAGGGCGAGTTTTCATTGCGTTTATACAGTAAATCACTGATGAAATTCGATTCAAAAGACTCTTTTCACTCAGATCATGTGGTACCCAAACATCATATCGCTTTGAGTACTCAAGCGTCACTAAGTACTTAATGGATGATGAAGTTGGGATAGATTCAATATTTCTGCGAATTACGCGTAAATAAAGCTACAATAAGCCAATAATCAACAATTCTAAGGTCCTTCAAAGTACACAGCACATACTTATTTTTTTTTTTTCCAGTCGTTTTTACCTTTACGATAAAAGGATCAATTAACAGATAGTAAGAAGTCTCTCATTTTATATATATATATATATATATATATATATATATATATATATATAATAATAATAATAATAAAAAACTTAAACACTAATATTCCATGGTCATAATTTATTCAATTGGAATCGTAAATACGATCCAATTCATCAGACCTACAAATTCAAAATGAAAACAGAAAAAACAACTCCGGAAATAAAAACAGAATTTAGAGAGAGTGTAAGTATGAGGGGGAGGGAGATTAAACCTTAACAGAGAGAATATTAGGAGAGGTGGGTGGAAGGACTCTCTCTAAATTCTGTTTTTATTTCCGGAGTTGTTTTTTCTGTTTTCTTTTTGAATTTTTAGGTCTGATGAATTGGATCGTATTTACGATTCCAATGGAATAAATTATGACCATGGAATATTAGTGTTTAAGCCTTTTTATTATATCCTTACTCTGTCCTGGACATTGAGTTCTACCTGGATTCTTCCTCTTGGAATTTTTATTCTAAAAATATACATGTATGGGTATTTATATATTTTGCATGTGTATGTATATGTACCACTAATATTATCTATCTATCTATCTATCTATCTATCTATATATATCGATTCGTATTCGAAAATCCCCTGTCTAGTAGGGCGTCAAGCGAATCCCCAATTGCAGACGCTTGTCCAGGTGCATTTGTGTTTATTCAGCAGCCACAAAGCCCACCTGTGGATTTTACTGCAAGTGCGCTGAGCAGACCTTAGTTACAATTTCTGGGAAAGAGTGTATTATCTAGCGTGATCTACAATTTGTACAAAGCCAGCAGGCTTATGTCCTCGGACACGATTACTTGTGACTTTGTGCTTGCACAGCTATCGACGGCCCCCAAGGGTTCGATCAACCCAATTTCACTCACAAGGCTTCATCTGTACAGTGATTGACCAGCATTCACTGCCATATAGGAGGACTGATATTACGTAACAGTTCAGTACACTTTTCTTTGCTTTTTTTTGCTTCAACTCACTTCTTCCACTGTGAAGAGATTGTCCAGTATTCACTGCCATATAGGAGGACTGATATTACATAACAGTTCAGTACTCTTTTCTTTGTTTCTCTTGCTTCAAGTCTCTTCTTCATCTGTGAGGAGATTGTCCAGCATTCACTTCCATATAGGAGGACTGATATTATGTAAAAATACAGTACTCTTTTCTTTGTTTCTCTTGCTTCAAGTCTCTTCTTCATCTGTGAGGAGATTGTCCAGCATTCACTGCCATATAGGAGGACTCATATTACATAACAGTTCAGTACTCTTTTCTTTGTTTCTCTTGCTTCAAGTCTCTTCTTTCGTTGCGAGGAGATTGTCCGGCATTCACTGCCTTATATGGTAACTGATATTACACAACAGTTCAGTACACTTTTCTTTGTTTCTTTTGCTTCAATTCTCTTCTTCATCCTTGAGGATGTTGTCCAGCATTCACTGCCATATAGGAGGATTGATATTACGTAACAGTTCAGTACTCATTTCTTTGTTTCTTTTGTTTCAAGTCTCTTCTTCCTCTGTGTGGAGATTGTCCAGCATTCATTGCCATATAGGAGGTGTGATATAATATATTAGTTCAGTACATTTTCTTTGTTTCTGTTGCTTTAAGTCTCTTCTTTCTTTGTGAGGAAATTGTCCAGTATTTACTGCCATATAGGATGACTGATATTACATAACAGTTGAGTACTTTTTCTTTGTTTCTTTTGCTTCAAGTCTCTTCTTCATCTGTGAGGAGATTCTCCAACATTCACTGCCATATAGGAGGACTGATATTACGTGACAGTTCAGTATTTTCTTTGTTTCTGACGAAATCGTTCTGTTTCATTATACTTGGCTTAGCTTTTGGAAGGCATCTTTCGCTAAGTGCACATTTTCTGCTGAAACAATTCCTAGTTATTTAAATTGTTTTTTTTTTCGAAATAAGAGCTCCATAACCTATAATACTGTACAACTATCCACTAAAAAGGAAAGAAACGCTAAAGAAGACAATGTGGCAAATAAAAGATGAAATATAATATAAATGGTTTGATCAAGAAAGATCTTTTAGTATAGGGATAAAGCAGTGTCTACATTTGTGTAATCGATGACCAAGAGGATGGCTGGGCCTGGGTCAAACGGGAAGGTTAAAAGACAAAAATGTAATTGTGAATAAAAGAGTGTGTATCTTAGAGAGCGAGCGAGCGAGCGTGCGAGAGAGAGAGAGAGAGAGAGAGAGAGAGAGAGAGAAAAGAGAGATAGATAGAGAGAGGATTCGGCCGGGGTGATTGAGGGCGTAAGAATCTGAGTTAAATATGATGTAACGGCGCCGAGGCGTGACGCGTTATCTGCCATATTTTATCTTAAAAATCTCATGACCAGCGAAATTGTTAGAATAACTTTGACGCTAGACCGCACGTTTTAAGTTGGCGCTGAAGATCACCAATATTAAAAGGCTCGTTGAAAAGCCAAACGTATGTCCAAAACGAAACGTGTATACCTACTGTTGGTGAGAATATATGACATGTAGAATATATAGCGAAAAATATTCTGGTCACTGCGTTTTTCTTCCTCTAAAAGAACTTCATGAGAATAATATTCCTATTCATACAATTATATTTGTGTCTGGAAGTATAAACGAAAACATCGATCCTACTATTTAACCCATAGCGGGGAGAATATTCTGGGAGACAGACAGAGCTGAAGCAAGTAGTTGATGGTGTTCCATTGGTTAGGTTTGGTTTATTTTGCTTTACGGCATACCAACCTCAATGGTGTATTTAATGCCGACAAGCTTTTTACGATAGGTTCGTTTGAAAAGAATATGCATTCTTTGCAATAAATCAGTTTGTAGATCGGGTTTCATTGAGGTCTTTTTTTTAAAGAGTTTTTCTGTCAAGGGTCTGGTTTGGTTTTGTCTGGTTTAATTTCTTTTACATTGACATATTTTTTGTAAAAAGGGTTTTTTTTGTTGAGAGTCAAATGTGTTGGTGATTTAAAAAAAAATGTATTGCTGATCTTCTTTTACAATAAAAATGTATATTTACACTTTCAATTTTATTTGACCCCAGTCTGGTGGAGAGAGTAACTATTTGCCCATAACTGGGACCCTAACAGGTTCTACCACCTCAGATCTGTGTGGACCTAGGTAAACTAGTTCCACGCTCCTCAAAACCTCCCGACCAAACGCCTTGCTGCCGGATGGTGTTTATCGTCATACCCAGGTCGGATGGTGTTCAGGTACACTTGAAATAAAGAAGAACTGATATTATTCTTAAATTTTCAAAAGGCACCGTGGAATTTCTCTAATTTCTTTTGGTGCCCATTTTCATAACGAGGCTATTCAGCTCAGTAATTGATGTGGCAATATTGACTGACACACATATTATTATTATTATTATAATTATTATTATGATTATTATTATACGCGTATGGAATAATATATCTTCAGCGTAAACGTAATTAGTTCAATCTTGCGTCAGAGAACCGTCTAATAACAAGGGGAGATAATTATTGGTAGGCGACCAATCTGCTAAAGTGGGTTTTGCCGAAGTGTGACTAACATTATCAGAATCCATTTGCTCTCGTATCTGTGTTAAATTCGTTATTATTTAGCGGCTCACGAATGAGGCTCGTTGCTAATAAAGGACGATACAGTCAGCCACTGCGTTTGCATTTGCTCGAAGTAATTGCTTTTATAGATAAATGAAGGATTTTAAGGGTCCACATGTGTATAGCCTCGACTAAATGAGTTCGTACGGAAAAGCAGGTCTTGCTGGGGTCTGTCTGAATGCCAATCAGTTTGAAATTAATAACTTGTCAAGCATAAAGTAAGGAGGGTCGGAGTGGCTGTCTCTTGGGAGAAGAACAGACAATAATTTCAAATTAAGGATTATTTCAATGACAGTACTGAGGTCTTAAAAAATAAAATAAAATTCATGTTAAATTTGACGAATATTATGTGAGCGCCTTTTTAAAGATAATTTTACAACTATTATTCTTTAAAAATTAGGAAAATATTCTCCATAATCTAATGTTTTATTGAATTTTATGTACTTGGTTTTCAATTTACTATAGTTATCCCCCTTATTTTCTGACAATGTCATGTATGGCCGACCGTATTTACAAAAATTGGCACATTTATACACACCAAAAAAATTCAAAATATATTCAAAATTTAAACTATTGACGTGACGATGAATTGTACTAAGCTTTTCCATTTGCGATTAAGTAAATATATATATATATATTTTACACAATAACAATATATCCTAACCTCTGCAAAGTAAGACAGAATAGGTTTAAAACTATAAATTATTCTAATTAAAATTTAAAAAAATGAAAGCAGTACTTGTAAAAAATTCATTATTCAGCGAAATCTCTTTAGTTTGGCTTGTTTTACGGTATATCAACCTCAATGGGTTATTTAATGCCGACAAGATTTTTATTGCTGGTAATATTTTTTTCCAAAAATGCATTGCTGGTAATACCCTTTTCTTAAAATGCATTGCTGGTAAGATTTTTTCTTCACAAACGTATTGCTGGTAATATTATTTTATCCAAAATATATTGTTGGTAATATATATTTTTTCAAAAATGTATTTTTGTAATATTTTTTCTTCGAAACATTTATTACTAGTATTTATTTTAGTATTAGAACCTATTTTTACACTTTCATAGTGTTTTAACCCCAGTTTGGTGGTTAACTATTTGCCCATAGCTGGGACCCTAACCGGTGCTACCACCCCGGGTCAGTGTAAACCAGGGAAAACAAGCAATTAAGAGGTGGTTCACAGCTTCTCAAGACCTCTTAATCACAGGAGTAGCTGTTTGGTGTATTTATCGTCAATACCAGGACGGTCTTTTTTTAAAAAATACTGTTCATAAATTATTTTATTCGTATTAAAAGCTTTTCTGTATAAATAATGTTTTATTTTTGTTGGTTTTTTTTTTATTTTCGTCTGGGGGTCGTATTTTTAAAAAAAAATGGTGATTTCAGTTCTCAATGCAGTTCTGCTTTTAGCTAATATAAACATTAAACCCTGTAAAATTTAATTTCTTAAAATTTTATAAAATTAAATAAGCGGGAGATAACAGATATCAAAAAAATATTTTTACAAAAATTTCCTAAAAAACATAGATGAAATAATATCATTCATTTGTGAATAAGCTCTGAACGTTTCATTAAAATCTGTCAATTACAGTGGAACATCTCTCTTCTTCTTGTAACGGCATTCACCCGGGGTGGGTTGACCCGGCTCCAATATTGGAGTTTCATGGGAATTTGGAATCCACAAGCGGTCCCCAACCCGCATGTATAGCACATGAGATTTGATTATAGTGGTGAAGGTTTCGTGCAGGACCATCCACACATTTTGAAAGGGCCGAATACAGTGACCTGGTGCACTACGTTTTCAAACCCCCAAACGACCCTCCGCAGGTTTTGAATTCAGAGTTGTCTTTCTCCTAGACCAATTGCCATCCAAGGCTATAGAACCCAGACTGTCCTGCTATTTACCCATAGCTGGAGGGAGAAGAAGAAGATTCATACCTTTTCCAAGGGTATTAGCACGTAAGTGAATGTAATGGATTCGACTGGAATTCGAACTCGGCTCTCCGATTCCTCAATCCAAGCTGCTATCCATTACTAGTGGAACATTGATCCACGAATTTAATTCGTTCATGAATTTAATCTGTTCCTGAAGCCTGTTCGTAACTCGAAATATTCGTAAACGAAAATATTCTTCCAATACGAATCAATGTAAGATAGATTAATCCGTTCCTGGTCCCATGATGATCGCTTATTTAAACTTTTACACCAGTACTTTGTGCACAAGTTTATACACAAAACTAATGAAAATCATTAAATCTAAGAAAAAAATATATAAACTCAATACTAAATAGATAAAATATAGATGAACATTTTAATTTTAGCGTACCTTCAAGTAGGAGAGTTGATGGCGTAAGTGGAAGGGGGAAGAAAGAGATGTTATTGTTTGGAAAAAGAAAAGGAAAAATATCTTCGTCTCTTTATTTATAAGAATAGTATAGATCGTTGATTTTGCCATATGAAATGAGTAAGAAGAGACAATATTATCAACAATTGTTTTTCTTTTAACTTTTCTTTTTCCTTTACAAGTATTGCTGCTAGCTTTTGTTTGGAGCCATGACTAACGGTTAATGAAGAGAAAAAAATGCACAGTAGAATACAATTGGAAAAAAAAAGCACATCACAACTCACAAACGTATACAACATGGCGATTATCTCAGAAATGATTCCGTTCGAGTTAACTCGGCTCGGCAATGTTGTTCGAGAACCAAACTTTTGTTCGATAACCGAGGCATTTTCATCTCAAATTTTCTGTTCGAAAACCGATTTGTTCGACATGTGAGACGTCCGAGAACCAAGGATCTCTGTATTTCCAAATTAATGTTCTTTTCCCTGCAAAAAAGACGATAACTTTTTTTTTTACTAATCTTTGGCACAACAAATTAACTAAAATGTCGGATGTTCTAAAAGGGTTAAAAATTTATATTTTAGTAATTGAAAAAAGAAAAAAAAGACGTATCAAAGTCATCAGTAAATAAATCAGTGTTATTAGTGAAAGTTTTTTTTATTTCTCTATTGGATAATCTTATTTAAGTCATGGCAATTATATGTGAAAAATAATATCTCCCAAATGTCTGCCAAGACTTCGGCATCACACCTCCACTCGATGGTCAAAATTTTTGATGATGTCCCTGCATAGTTTCTCCTCGATCTCACCAATATGCCTTATTTCATCCTTCAGCTGTTGAATTGTTGTGGGATTGTTGGCATAAACCTAAATTTAAAGATGATCTCAAAGGAAGAAATCTAAAGGTGTCAAGTTGCAAGATCGTGGTGGTCAATTGCCTTCGCTGTTTCGAGAGATGATGCGACCTGGGAACTTCTCATTCAAATTCTAATTGAACGTTCATTTTCGTAATAGGCTTCGATAAATTTAATACGTTGTTTGATTGTTAATCTTTCCATGGTTGAAATTGCCAAAGACTTAAATTGTTAAAACTGAAAGAAAAAGATAAAACCATTAGACACTTAAACTTAATTCACATTTAAAATCGGTCCAAGTTGTTGGAATGCCCTTTATGACACTATGTTGATGGTCGACTCTGAAAGAAAACTAGAGGACCCCCCAGACAGGGTAGTAAAAGAAAGCGAGAAAAAAGTACGAGTTCTATAAGGTCAAATTGGCAGATGATCTCTAAAACGTCCTTGAGTTTGTTGTTAAATGGGGCAAAGGATGGCCTGTTCATTTTAACGCTTCCAAAACTAACTGCACACTGTTAATCACCTGAGACATATAGCTCGGTGCTACTGATATTTATTTTGAGTTCTTTGATAAAATCCAAAGAAGAATCAGCATTATTATTGGTCCTGATCTGTCGGCTCGGCTTTAGATATTTTCACACCACCACAAGGTAACGTGCTTCTTTTTTGCATTTTCTTTAAATACTGATAAGCTCTTCGATATGGTATGTAGACTTAATGAATTTAAACGCAGTAATAGACTAGCTGAGAGATCTCATCAATTTACTGTTGACTTGGCTGGATGTAGCCGCAAGTTCTATGGTAAGATTTTCTTTTCTCGCACTTCTCGCTTGTGGGACTCCCTTTCGGTTCATATCTTTCCTGCCAACATTAATTTACAAAAAAAAAAAAAATAAATAAATAAATGCAGGGACAATCTCTGTCTACTCTCCGCCTGATTACTTTTTCACCCCCTGCTTATTGATGTTTCGGTTCCTAATTCTGCCACAGCCTCTAGCCTCGTGCGTTTTAACGACTTCACCGCCTTGCTTGGGGTGATAAAAATGGCTGGCTTTCATACATCAAATGAATGATGGCCGTATACCCCAAATGTTTTAAACCCCCAAAAAAAAAAAATTCAAGTACAGTGAGCAAGCTACGAAACAACGTCCTCTAGGTTAACCTGCACTAAGTTTGTGATCTCAAAGACATTGACGATGGTAACTAGAAAACGTTAGTAGACGATCGCAGCGGATGGCGCCATGATGTTCAAGGAGGTGTCATGTAAGACGAGAAAAAGCCAAAATATCTGCTGGAGAACAGAAGGCAATGCGGGAAGCATAGATAGCAATCTTAGATCTCCATTCCACATTATAGTTTCGTCTGTCTCACCTGCAGAAAAGGTGCTATGCCATAGAAGTGCTCAATATCAGGGATATAACGTATGTAAATATAACACATGGTATGATGTTTGTATTCAAGCGTGAATCAAACACTCGCCACTTGGTTTCTATACGTGAGGTGTATTTAAGCAGCAAAATTTCAGGAAAACAAGTCCTGATCTGACGTCTCGGCTTCAGTCACTACCCCAGTGCCGTAAAGTTGCCTGTCTGGATCCTTTTTAAAAAATACTTCCATATAAATAGTTCGGGTGAGTTCTTCGCTATGGTAACCATTGATTTATTAATCTTGTTTGCATGTCATAAATACAGCATTTACTATCATTTTTTTTGGGTACCTATATATGTAAGGTGCATTTAAGCAGCCCGGTTTCGATCACTTGTTGCGTCACTGTACCCTATTTATAAATTCTTTCATGGTAATTGTTCCGGCGAGTTCATCGCTATGGTAACTGTTGAAACTTGACTAATGCATGGAATAATAATGCAACACAAAATGTACTTAGAACAAAATGTATTGAAACAAGAAAGTGTACACAATATTTACATATAGTCTTTTTGTATATTCCCAGTAAGACCGTTCCTGGAGAATGTGTTGACTGAGTCGCAGTCGGGCAGAGTCTCTGGATTGAATCTCTTGATTCCTCCCCTCGTCTTCCCGGTGCCAACCATATTTATATGGTCGGTACTCCACTATGCAAATTAGGTGGATCCTACCACAACAGTAACCTAACCTTAATGAATTTAAACACAGTACTAGACGTCGAGATCTCATCAATTTAAAATATGAGTTGGTTAGATGTAACCATAAGTTCTATACTAACAGTTTATTTTCGCGCCGCGTTTCTATTTCAAGGAACGCCGGCTCCATGATTTCAAGCCAATATTAATTTATTAATTTTCAAATATTTAAATGTAATGTCAATCGATATCTACTGTATTCGTGATTACTTTTCTATTTTTTCGCTCTTTAATAATCTTTCTCCTTTTTTTTTTTAAGCAATTCACCCTAAGCAAGACAGGAGTGTCCCTACCATGCAAAACGTTACAGAGAGCGAGAGTAAAGAGGGGGTGTTTGAGGAAAGGATAAAGAGAAGGACGTGGATCAAGATCAAGGGATCAGAACATGTTGACATTACATTTAGATAGAAAGATAGATAGATAGATAGATACGAATAGTCTGAGATAAATAGATAGATAAATATGAAAAACCTAGAAAGATAGATAGATAGATAGATAGATAGATAGATAGATATGAAAAACCTAGATAGATAGATAGATAGATAGATAGATAGATAGATACGAATAGACTGAGATAGATAGAATATATTAAAACCTAGATAGATAGATATATGATAAATTATTGAATAGATATGAAAAAACCTAGATAGATAGATAGATAGATAAATAGATTTTTTACGAATAGTCTGAGATAGATAGATAGATAGAATATGAAAAAAAGATTAGATAGATAGATAGATAGATAGATAGAATGATAATAGATATTTAAACCTAGATAGATAGATAGATGGATAGATAGATACGAATAGTCTGAGATAGATAGATAGATAGATAGATAGATAGATATTTTAGATAGATAATGAAAAACCTAGATAGATAGATAGATAGATAGATTTATGAATGTGAAAAAAATAAAGATAGATAGATAAATACGAATAGTCTGAGATAGTTAGATAGATAGATATGAATTTCTTTTTTAATTAAGCATATCACCCCAACAAGATAATATGCCAATAACACGCAAGGGGTTACAGAGATTGAGAGCAAGAGTAAAGAAAAATTTCTGAGGAAAGGATAAAGAAAAGGTCAGGGTCAAGATCAACGCATCCGAAGATAGCGATTGACATTACATTGGAATATTTGAAGACTTTACCTATCTATTTTTTAAAAATTTCACACCAATCAAAAGTCATAGGTGCCACTATATATGACGCAAGGTGTTCCAGATGGTGAGGCAAGATTAAAGAGGGCTGTTTGAGGAAAGGATATAGAGAAGGACGAACACTAGGATCCAGGCATCAGAAGATGTCGATTGACATTACATTTGAATATTTGAAGATTATAGCTATCAGGGAATCAAATAAGAGGAAGGGAGTTCCACTTTCGGGAAGTGCGAGAGAAAAAGATGTTGAAGTAGCAGAAGATAGTAAAAGAGTGGGACCTAGATGCCAATCTAGTAGCAAGCTTAAATTCTGCAGTTTGGGTACCAGTGAAAGTAGCTCGTCAGAGCAGTTGCCATGAAAATATTTGCAAACAAGACAGAGGGAAGCCACAGCACGTCTGTGAGAAAATGACTGTAGACGAGATGCCAGTTCAGGACCTATCACATTGCATATCTGTCTCTGTATTTTTTCGAGAACCTCGAGATAAAACGCGGGATGCAGGAATACCAGACCATATATGACAGCAGCATTTAATGCAAGAACGAATGGTTGATTTGTAGATTTGAAGGATGGACTCAGGCGAGAAAAAAATCTGTTTTTCCTTATTCCTCCATATTCAGAAATCCCGTGTATCTTAGTGGCTATAGTAGCTTGCTTGGAATGAATTCGATTAAATAAAATAAAAAAAATCAACTGCATGAAGACAAAAATGATGGCCTGTTTTTTTTGAAAAAAAAAAACGATGCAAATTGTAGCTATAAACATCAAGCAGGTGTAGAAGGTCAAATATCAGGGGGAGGTGTTAACAGAGGATGGAAAATGTGACACCGAAATCCGAAGTACGTATTGGACTAACGAAAGAAGCATTTCAAAAGATAAACACGGCGCTGAGAAACGGAAAAATTACGTTAGAAACAAAGAAAAGAGTGAGGAATTGATGAACGTTATACGTGGTTTAACAGCAAAATTGTCCAAATCGTGTAACAGCATTCGATAATTGTCCATCCCACAAAATTGTTTAATATCTAAAAATCACTAATTGAGTTTCTTTCTTCCAGGTTTTTAGATAAGACTTTAAGCCATCTTGTCACCATTTGTCGTAAGATACACAGAAAAATAACCCTTTGATTTATTCAGCTAGAAAGAGAAGAGGTTAAAATCGATTTATGTCAGCCCCACATTCTTCCCAAGTGTCCAATGGTGATAAGAAAAAGATTATTCAAGCCTTCAGTAATGGTACCAACATTCAAACTCTAGCTTCCATCTTCAAATCTATTCAAGAACCTTCAAGAGAACGGTGATTAAGTTTTAAAAAGAGTAGAGAGGAAAACTGGATCAGGAAGTCACAACAGGAAGAGGGATCATCATTTCAACTTAGAGCTAAAAAAATCAATTAGAAAAGATCCAACTCATTTCAGAAGACTTTTGGCATATGTGAGAAAAAAATTTCAATATGACAGTCAAAGAAGTGAAAAAAACTTGAAAAAAAATCGTATGTAAAAAACAAATCATGTTTGTCACTCCTTGTTATATAAACATCATTTTTTTATTTGGAATAAAGTCTGATGATCCGCAGATATTTTAAAAAATGATTGTGGTGAAATAATTTATTACATTTTTAAATCTTCTGTTTTTTTTAAATTATATATATATATATATATATATATATATATATATATTATTTATAATTATTTTAAAAAATATGATTCCAAATTTTTAATAAAAAGGTTCTCATGTTTCAAAACAAGAATGGAAAACTTCAATATAAAAATGGGCTCCGTTCCATATTCAAATGAACAAAATTTCGGCGAAGATGGAATAAATATCTGATATTTTAATTTTAACTCAATTTAATTTAAAGGATTATATTGAAGTTTTCGGCTCTTGTTTTGAAAGATTATTAATATTATGTAAATTTTTTAAATATTTTTAAATAAAAGAATTACTTCATATTTTATGCTCTACTTTTTGTATCGAGCACTATTTTTTTTTTATAATAACTAAAATACTAAGGGACTTTGGATTATTTACCTAACCAGTTCCTTCCTATTTTCTCTATATTTCAACATATATATATATATATATATATATATATATATATATATATATATATATATATATTTATTCAAATTTAGGTAATCCGTATTTGGTTGACCTGAGGAGGATGATATCCAGAGAGCTTAATTTGTTAGATTCAGAGCATATATGTTTGAATAAAAGACAGACCACGTTAAGATTCCATGTAATAAGCTATTTCACCATAACCCCTTTAATTTTTCTGGATCATCAGACTTTTACTTTCAAAAAATTGATCGGCTGGATGTTGCTTTAATCTAACGCGTCTCGTCTTTAAATAAAAATTGGTTTTTGGGTTTTCTGAACGGCTACATTGAGGAAGACAAGTTATAATTTTTGTTAAATAAATTATCCGACAGGTTTCATTCAAATTCCTAGACGACACACATTGAGTTAAAATAGAAAACTAAAATGATACATATGACACAAAAATCATCCTCTCTTTTTTTTCACTTCGTTAACTTTTAAAATACTTGATGGGTTCCGTAAAAAAAATTGTTAATTGTCTTTTCATTCTTCATTTCAATCTTCATTTCAGCTTTTTGGAAGTAAAAAGAGATGATCCAGAACCCTGTTAAAGGGGTTATGGTGAAATAAAAATATTAAATGGAATCTTAACGTGTTTTGTCTTTTATTCAAACAAATATATATATATATATATATATATATATATATCCTATATATATATATATATATAAAATTTTGAAAAATTGATTTAAAATATTTCATTTTTTCGTAAACATATTCTAACCATATTTTTTAAAATTGGAAGCTAAAATTCAAAAATTTAATTTTTGTGATTAAATCAAAGACATTAGTTCCATTTCATCCTTTTTTTATAATGCTCTGTAAATTTACATTGAGCATATTTTGTAAAAATAAAAATATCTATAAGAACAAGAATTTTTTATATCTTTCTGATCTTTTTTATATATATATATATATATATATATATATATATATATATATATATAATTTATTTCAAAAATATTCATGAGATTCCGATCTTTATAATGATTAATTAATGATGAACATTTCATTTTCGTTTTTCATCACAATTTTTGTTAAAATGGAGAAATCATAAATTCTTATTGCTCAAATAGAATCCAATATTACAATAAAATTCTCCGAGATTTCCAGTAATATATATTTAATCATTTCTAAAATACAACGGTTCAGAGCATGATGTAACAATCTTTTATATTTCTGTCTGATAAAAAACAGATTTCAAATGGCCCCATATTTTTTCTAAAATAAAAACTTAAATCTGGGTATCTCGGTGATCTCTCAACAGGACCTCTTCGACGTTGGTGCAAAATTTTCTGTACCGAACATGGGAAATTAAAAAAAAAGGGGAGAAAATATTTGTTTCAGTAACAATAAGGGAATGGTTCAAAATGCAACGTCAATCGCCATAATGGCGATTGACGTTACATTAAACGATTGATGATTGTTTTTGACATATCAAAAAATCTGGAAAAATTATTAGGAATGCTAGAAAAGAAACTGTTAGAATAGAATTTACGACTGCATCTCGGTAGCTCAAACGTAAAACCGTGAGACCTAATTGCCAATCAAGTAGCACGTTTAAATTTGGTGCAATAGATAACGACTCGGGAATGTTAATCTGACAGCCAACTTTGGTTCTTTATATTCGCTTACGTGGGAAAGGAATGGCTGACAATCCATCAGCTTTGCGTTAATTGTAAATACTTGTATCAATAAATCATTATTATGTGTAATAGTTTATGAACTTTACTCGGCTTATGGTCAT